GGTGGGTGTGGGGTGGATTGGTAAGGATAAGGAATATTGTGGAGAAGGTTGAGAAGGAGTTTTGAAAAATGTTTTCCCTCCTTTTGATAGGGAAAATATTTTCCTCCAATTGGAGGAAAATGAGTAGATGAGGAAAATGTTTTCCAAAATATTTAAGCCAACCAAACATGGGAAAATTGTAAAATATTTTCCGAAAAATATTTTCCTTCATACCAAACACACCCCTAATATCTAAATAGCTTCTGATAATTTTTAAGTCAGAGAGATGTGTGGGCTTAAGGTGAAATGTATAAGCATTAATTACCAGATTGAAATGTAGAGAAAATTAGCTAATCATATGCTAGAGATACCAACTTTATGTGAAAAGCTTAATTAATTGTAGGCTATAATGTAGAGAATTTTCCGGTTAAAATAGCACGGGCTAGTCAGTTTTCGGAGTGGTAATTCAAAAATAGCCAAGGTTTGTCAAGTCATTAAAAAATAGCCACTATTTTACTGCAACAGAGACCGGTCCAGCATAATATACTGAAGTTCGGTGCACCTATGTATGAACTTCCAGTATATCATGCTGGACTGCTATACTTTGCTGGCTCCAGTATAATATACTGGAGTTTCAGTATATTATGCTGGAGTATTTTCCGGATTTTGAGCAGTATTTTCGTTCAGGTTTATATTTAGATGAAAAGTGACTAAATTTTGATGACTTTGGAAACCGTGGCTATTTTTTAATGACCACTTATAAATCTGGCTATTTTTTAATTTCTTCCAACTTTCGGAGGATGCGATCCTTAATAGTTCACTGTTAACGAAAATTATTGCCTTGAAATTTGGGGAACTTATACAAGGAGCGTATCTTTTCCAACTTTCAAATATCCTATTTTTAGGCTATAAATTTACATCTTTTTTTAAAAATGTGGAATTCCGAACATAGTTGAATAAATACTTATTTAATTTAAATTGAACAATTAATAATTAAATTCAGATCCAAAATCCTTTTCGCACAAAGCTTAATTTGGACAGCCTTATACAAAAAACCAACCTAGTACTAACAAAAGTTTGGTAATTGCTTATTTAATAAAATAAAACTGATTTTCTAATCAACTATTTTGGTAGGTCCATATGTTACAACACAAGTAACTATTACATGTTCTAATTCAAAATTCTATCATAGTTTATTTTAATCTTCTGGGTTCGAAATCTATTTTTATACCAATACTGCTACTAAATTCAAACTCTGTCACAGTTGCTAATGCACTAGATCCGTCACTGTAGTTAATTTTACATTCAATATAACTTTATAGATTCCGAGTCAGTTTGACAAAAAATAGTAAGTAAAATAGAAATATCAATTTGGCAAGTTCTCGCAGTTTATATGTTAACATAAACATACTTTTTAAGCTGTTTAAAATAAATTGAGAGAATTACCTACAACAACTTGCTCTGTCATCTGAGGCGGAGTTAAGAGTGTCAGGAGCGGAATCGGCCGAACCCAGTAACTTTGGTTCGACTTAAAATTCATTGAATATTGTATAAATTATTAATTTAGAACGCAATAACTTAAAACGATTAAAATTTCTAACTCATAAGTTTAAAATCATAGCTCTGCCTCTGTGACTGTCATTAAAGGCTAGAGTGAAAGAGAATGGAAAAGGTTTTCTAGGATGGTATTATGAATCCTTGAATCAGGACAAGCCTGATAAATATGGAAATAATTTGTTTTCAAAAGCGAAAAGCGTAAAAAAAACGACAAGGTCCATGGTGCTTGAAGCAAAAAGCGAGAAACTAAGCACGCAACTTCTTTGAGATGAAGTGCATAGTTGATGAAATTAAAAGAAAATATTAAACATGCAAACTATAATACTATAATAATCAAATTGCATATGCTTTTTTTTAGCCGAGGGTCTATCGAAAACAACCACTCTACCTTCACAAAGGTAGGAGTAAGGTCTGTGTACACACTATCTTCCTCGGACCCCACGTTGCAAGAATACACAAGGTATGTTGTTCTTATTGTAATAATCAAATTGCAATTGAATAACTAATTTCACCCTTCAATATGCTCTAACATCAAACTTCTCAATTCAAAGAATTGACCACTTCTTGTTGGGATCACTTTGCGCGTCTTGTTCGAAACACATGACTTTGCTCATCAATCAATGCCCCTCCGTTGTGCATCGTTTTAAACGACGAAGCTATGGCTTTAACTACACTAGTCGGAATCTCAAGCTTACAACAACAATAAACCCAGTGAAATCACACAAGTGGGGTCTGAGGAAGGTAGTGCGTACGAAGATCTTACCCAAGCTTATGAAAGGAAATACAAGATGAATTGAGTGAGATGCTCCTCCAAGTTTGAGACCAGAGATAGTCAAAACTCTCAATATTGTCTATATCATATATTGATATTCTCTGGACAGGAACTGAATTTGAAGACACAGATTCTATCCAGTGACAACTTAGTTCAAAAACAAAATTAGCAGCTTTGTTGTTCGGACTCTCCAAAAATATTGCCGCACCCGTGTAGGACCCTTCAAAACGCACTACTTTTGAAGGATTCGTCACGCACCTGATGGAATTTTTGAAGAGTCCGAGCAACATAGAACTTAGCAGTATTCCAGAGTAAGTTTTTACCAACAACCAATGACCCTTCCTAGAAGCACATGACTCTGCTCATGAATCAATGACCCTTCGCTTTGCATCGCTTTAAACGATGAAGCTATGGCTTTAACCACACTAGTCGGTATCTCAAGCTTACAACAACAACAAATTCAGTGGAATCACACTAGTGAGGTCTAGGGAAGGTAGTGCGTACAAAGACCTTACCCGTACTAATGAGAGGAAATACAAGATAGAACTATGTGAGATGCTCCTCCAAGTTTGAGACAGGAGATAGTCAAAACTACCAATATAGTCTGGGGAGGGTAGTGTGTACGCAGACCTTACCTCTACCCGAAAGGGTAGATAGGCTGTTTCCGATAGACCCTCGACTAAACAAGAAGAAAAGAGACCAATATAGTCTATATCATATATTGATATTCCAGAGTACTTTTTTAGCAACAACCAACATTGTAATGACACTAACTAAACTACAACTCTGCAATAAAACTAAGTTAGAAACAACTAAGTCTATGTCAATAACATAAACATCATACAACTACTGATCACGTCTAGCAGCTGCACGGACATCAGCCCGAAACTCCAGGATAATTCGAAGAACATACAACAAGGCTGAAAGGGAGGGAGCTAGCCAAGTTGGCCATCCGAATCCGAACCCATGGCCCTCAGCAGCAACAAAAATGCAAAGGTAACAGAGTAAAGTAGCGAGAAATCAGTAACGACAGGCCTAAACATCATGAGCACACAGAAATAACTCGCGGCAGACATGAAGAGGAACAGAGATAAAAGAGGTTTGTCTACTTGCAGGCCGGAGAGCAGTTTCAACAAGAGCGGCGTGAATATCATTACAATGCCTTCGCAGAAATGAGCAAGGGGAAGCACAACATAAGGTGGAATATACAGTACTGGAGGAAAATTGCGGATTACAAAAAGTCCGCCCAGTAGTAGCGCTGCAGCAGTGCAAATAAGCCACGCTGCGTGGTCGAAAGCAGCCATACCCGTAGTCAAGAAAAGCACTGCAGCTGAAGCCCAAATCTTTTGCTCAATGTCCATTTTCTTTAGGCTGTTTGTTTTCTGAAATGAGTTCTGTTTGGAAACAAGAAAGAAAATCAGATAATGAAAATTTGGGATTACATAACAACTATCCTAATAGTCAAAGTTGATTCTTGAAACAGAAACCACATACAACCTATATAGCTCGGATCCTCCAAAAATGTCACTGTACACATGCTGGATCCACACAAAATACTTAACTT